TGTGTCTTGTGTTGGGAAAGCTGCAAGAGAGGATGCTGGAAGAAATAGGTGGGAGGCCAAACCATGAGTGACTTTGTAAGGCCTGAGGATATCCAAGATTAAAAAACTCATGAGAGCCAGCTAAGGTAGCACCCATTTGTAATCCCAATAATTGTGAGGCTGAGGCAGGAGGATGGAGCGTTGTACCCAGTTTGTGCTACATAGGGAGTTCAGGGCCAATCTGATTTATATTAAGGCTCTTGTCTCAAAACAAAACAACACAACCATAAGAAAATGCTTAGTTGCTATAATCATAATGGAAACTGTTATTTATTGGGTACATATTGTGTTAAGGTACTGTGCTCAGTATTTTATGGTGTTTTCTCATTTAGATCCTCAACAAGTTTGTATTGGAGTTACTTTATCTCCTTCTAGATGGAAACCAAGTTTAGAGAAGTTGAGTAATTCACTCCAGGCAGCACAGCTAGTAAGTAGCACTTCGGATTCAAATGTAGGGCTTTGGTTTTTAACATACTCATCAGCACTCTGCTCTACTATGTAGGTCAATTATTTACACATGTGGTCAGCACATTGTTTCCTGCATTGACTACATTTCTTCATTCATTTGTTACTTAAATGTGATTGTAGCCGCTAAAACTTTTTCATTGACTGGATATACAGCTTTGTCAGTTTGTTATAACAAGATTATTTTTGCTAAGAAATGTCCAAAACACATATTTAACTTTTGGGGGAGTTGATACTGGAGTTTGAACTCAGGACTCTACCGCTTGAGCCATGTTTCCAGCCTCAGAACGGGTATTTAAAATCTGCTGTTTGGGGCCTAGGGGAGTGACTCAAGTGGTAGAGCACCTGCTTAGAAAGTTCAAGACCCTGAGTTCAACCCCCAGTACTGCCCTCCGCCACAAAATAGAAAAATCTGCATGGGAAAGTTAAATATATTAACATTCTAATTATACTATTTTATTGAAGAAGGAAAAATAGGACATACAGATAAACTAAAAAGAAAATTTTTAACGTGCCATCACACACAGATTACCCTTGTTTATATTTTGGTGACTTTTAAATATACATGAATATTTATATTTAAAATCCATTTCAACAAAGTACATATTTTAAGAGTTTATAATTTATTTCTCTCTGCAGTGTCTTTGCTTTCTATGTGGGACATTGTCAAATACAGTGTGACTAAATTTTGAATGAGGTAACTTGCTTTCATTTCTGAGGCTTTAAGATATTAAAATATAGATGGTGTTTGACCCTAAAGCCATAGTATGCTCCTGTTGGAGTCACTGCTTTCCCACATATTAGTTCTAACTACTATGACACTAGATTAGTTTCACGTTTATTTTTCTCTGCTAAATGTACTTGAGCAAGCCTTGAGTTTTGCTTTGGTTTTTGAGACAGGGTCTTCATGTGTTGCCCAGGCAGTCCTGAAACTCACTGTCCTCTTGCCTCACCCTCCCAGAATGCAGGTACTCACTACCATGTCCAGTTAAGCCTTGGGCTTTTGACAGTAGGTGATTTGAATTTTCCAAAATAAGTTTAATCTCTGAATCTCCCACTCTTTCTCAACTCACCTTCCCAAGAGAGTAGTGAACCTCCATGTACCTGTCACCCACCTTCAACAATTCACACTTCATGGATGGTGTTCTTTGATCTAACCTTCCCAGTTGTTTTGAGATGAACTTAGGCATCACAGTATCATTTTAGTAGATAGTCATAAATGATGAAGATTAATTCTTTTTTTAAACAGATGCTTTAAAAAATATAACCATACCTTTAAAACTGAACTCATTCCTTAATATCAAGCATTCCATCAGGGTTTAAAGCTTCCCAAATGGATCATAATTTTCTATACTTGTTTGAAGGAAAATTCGTGTATTGCACTGGTTGGTATGTGTCTCAAGTCTCTCTTAATCTAAGGATTTTCCCTCTGTCTCTTTTTTTCCTTTGCAATATTTGTTTTTTTTTTTTTTTTTGAGCTGGTTGTCACTTATCCAGGTGGTCTTTCAAATATGTGTTCTCAGGCAACCTTTTATGAAAGTGATTATTTCGAACTTTCAAAATTGAAGTATAGTTATACATAATTTAATGTACAGATCTTAAATGTTTACTTGACAGATTTTTACAGTTGTGTACATCAATGTATCTACCACCCAGAGTAGTTTGTTTTCAGCTGTGATGATTTTTGATGGAATACTAAAGGAGAAATTATTCCCATTCTTTAGACTGTAATATTTAGAGAAACTATATCAACAAGGAACAGTTTATCATTACTTGCTATTAGAAATATAAATTGGGGGCTGGGAGTATAGCTGCTAGCATTTAGGAGGTCCTGGGTTCAATTACCAGCACTGCGCCAAAACCAAAGTTCTGATATGATATGTAAATTAGAAATATAAAGCTTTCAGCCGGGTGCTGGTTGGCTCATGCATGTAATCCTAGCTACTCAGCAGGCAGGTATCAGGAGGATCACGGTTCAAAGCCAGCTTGGGCAAATAGTTTGTGAGACCGTACCTCGAAAATATCCATCACAAAAAATCGGCTGGTGGACTGGCTCAAGGTGAAGGCCCTGAGTTCAAGCCCCAGCATCACAGAAAAAAAAAAGCTTTTTGCCTTTCAGCATCAGATGGCTGATTTAAGGAATTTCAGATTTTGGAAAATACTCCTTGATAGCAGAGGGATGGATGTGTGTAACGTGTTTAGAGGTAAAGGTGATAATTACAAATGTACTGCATTAAAATTTATATCTTCGCAAATAAAAAGATTGTGGCTGTTTGGTAATCCTTCCAAATTGCATGTATCCCTTTCCCTGAGCTCCATCTCTATCTCAATTTTACGAAAAGACAGATTTCCTCTAAGTTCTCTAAAACAAGAGAGCTAAAACAGCAAAGCATTAACTCCAGCTAAGTCACATCTTGAATATGGTATTTGGTAGACATTAGCCATTTCATCTTTGCTTTGTCTGTGATTTACATTTATTGTTCTATTTAGCTGTGGGGACATTTTGTTTATTGGCTGTGATCTTTGTTTGATGTACCAGTTGGAAGGGAGAATGGAAGTTACTAAGAGTTATTGACTGGCTACTTTGTGTGAACAATCATCAATATATTCCCCTGGTGACAGCCATTTTATAGATTGTTTAGGTTAGGAAACAGAATCATAGTTTTAGTGGTTTACCAAGAACAAGGATTTAAACCCTCAACTTCTACCCCAGAATTGTTCAGAAGTTTTCACTGAGCTACGCCAGCTTGAAGGTTAAATAAACCTAAGTAATAATAATTCTGTCTTTCACAGTTCCTGCTTCTTAGATGGAAAGGTCTTTGTAGTACATGAAAAATGGAACATTTGAAACATAAAATTACATTGAGTTCAATTGTGATAAAGCTTTCTGCATGCATATCTCAAGTTGTTTCAAGAGTTTGTTTTTTTCATTTACTAGAGAGTTAGTAAAGTAAAATAATTTAATGCCTGTGAAATGACATGTAATATGAGATAAAACCAGTATTATTTTTACAGGCAGTTAATTGGAAAATAATCTGTTGAATTATCTTTAAGAAATTCATTTTAAGAAGTATGGCTTTCTTATAACTTGAAGTTTCTTAATTTGTAGTTCTTCATTTAATTTTTAGCTTTTTAAAATTTTTTTAAAGTGAAAAGTCTCCCTTTTCATTTTATCGAAAAACTTTTTCTACAAGTAACATTACTGTAGATTTCTTTTTAAAGAGGTGACCTCTTTTATGCCTTTTAAAATTGTTTAGTATGATTCAGAGTGAGTTTCTTATTTGAAAAAAGGACTTGTGTTGCTATTGTTTATGCCTTTCAGACCTTGGACATTTTGCCAATCATAATTTTATTCACCTGAATTTAACTTTTTTTTTGGATACTCTATTTTGTAAACAGAGCTTGGATTTTAAATATTTTAGTCTGAATTGTTAACATATATCAGCTTTGTTACTAAAACTTTTGTCCCCAGCTAATATCCTGCCCCAATTACAAAAAAAAATGTAGCTTGCTAAAGAAAACCAGTCTCCTTTTAGACTTGCCATAGTCTATTAAAAAAATTGAGTTGCCTTTTTCTTGCTTTCATTGAACTTTAGTGTTCTTAGAAGAAACATACCAGAAAAAAAGATTTTTTAAAAGTAGAAATTGCTTTTGGAAAGGCTTTTTTATGTGAACTCATTGGGTAAGATAAATGAAACAACTAGTTAAGCTCATTCCTTCTGTACTTATTTTGAACTTCAAAGTTCCTAGTTTTAACCTCTGGTTCAGTCCCATCTTACTAGATTTAAGTGGCTTTTGTTTTGTTTGTTTTTTTTTCATGCAGGTTCTGCTCATTAATCACCACCAGTGTGGATCTGAAGAAGAGTTTATTACCTCTCTTTTTTTGAGTATGTTTAACTTCAGATACACACAACGTAGCCTCTCCTTCCCTATTAGATTCTTAGAAGGTAGTTATATTTTTTATAGTCTCCTTCTTGTGGCTTTGATAGTTGTGATCAATAAGAGTAAAAACTATTCCTTTCATAGTGGGCTACTGCATGCAAATCAGTTCATTTACAACCTCCTGGAGGTCTTTGGCATGCCAGACATAAAACTATTGAGTGTTTGTTTGTGGAGGTAACTATGTTCAAAAGAAATCTAAGAACTGAATTCTTTTATCAAGAATCTGGGAAAATTATCCTTTAGCTTCTGGGACTCACTGACTGTAAGGGGCTTGCTGTTGGTGTGTGATTTTCAAAATTCATTAAAAATGGGAAATAAAAAATTAGAAATTTTTGTGCTATTAGATACATCTCTGAATGAATAATAAATTAGTTTGCATTTTACCTACTGTCTGCTTCATAAAACAGATGACTCATGATGCCTTATTAGTTAACATTAATGAACACATTTTTCATATTTGCAATTTTTAGACAAATAGATGTGCTTTTCCTCTTGTACATGGATGTGATGAAAAAAGTATGATGCATAAAATTCATCCTTTCTTTTATATCTAGGGATGGAAAAAAGAAAGAATTCTGGCTGAATACCCTGATGGTAGGATAATAATGGTTCTTCCTGAAGACCCAAAGTATGCCCTGAAAAAGGTAAATTTCCAATGAAATTTCATACATAATGGATTAATACAATTTTCCAGCTAATATTTAAACACCGATTCTGGAAATAAGAAATGAGCATTTTTTAGAGCCTAGTAGGGTATGGTGGTGTACACCTATAATCTCAGCACTTGGGAGGCTGTGGCAGAAGGATTATGAGTTTGAGGGCAGCCTGCACTACATAGTGATGTTCCGGCCAGCCTGGGCTACGTAGCAAGAGCCTGTCTTTTGTAAAATAAGCAATCAAATACACGTATACATACATATACACACATACACATAATGTGCATACATACAAAAAAACTAAAAGAATAGAACTTAATTGAAAAGGAGGGGGAGTCCCACCAAAACAAGAATACAACTCATTTGAAAAATTATGCTAAACCTTGTATATCCAAAATAAAACTGAAAAGAATTTATAAGTAATATATTCAGTACTTTTTTTCTTCATTCTGTGGATACTTTTCCAGAATTGCCTCATAATGTAAGCAATAGACTCATTTATTCATCTGAAGAACTTATGCTAGAGTGTGTCCAAAATTTCTGGAAACACATGGGAAATTATTTATTTACTATTCTTCTTTTAGATAAACAATTGGACCTCTTTAAAATTAGGATTACTTCACCTATAAAGGAGGTTAAAGGAAAACACCTATTATTTGAAAATGTAGCTAACATTCTACTTAAAATGTAAGTTTCTGCTGGGTGCTGGTGGCTCACGCCTGTAATCCTAGCTACTCAGGAGGCAGAGATAGGAGGATTGTGGTTTGAAGTCAGCCCGGACAAATAGTTCTGTGAGACCCTGTCTTGAAAAACCCTTCACAAAAGTAGGGCTGGTGGATTGGCTCAAAGTGAAGGCCCTGAGTTCAAGCCCCAGTACCGCAAAAAAAAAAAAAAAATCCTATAGTTGCTGATTTTTCAGATCCCTTGTATATCTGACTGGACAATCGAAGATGCACAGACACCACCATGCTACTGTCATGCCTAATGATATAGAGCGCATGCAGAATGACACACAAATAAAATGCCCAACTTGTCTTCTATTTGAAATTCTGAACTTTGCACAGTTGGGTCAGTAATTGACTAATGAAAATTAAATTAGGGAATTTTTAGAATTATATTATTCAGAACGACACAGTGGGAACTTCGGTACACTACCTTATGAGGTAGCCAGATTTTTCTTACAAAGAATACTCTGAGGCTAGGGATGGAGCTCAGTGGTAGAGCTCTTGCCTGGAATATGCATGTCCCTTTGTTCAAGATAAAACAAATAAATGAATAAAACAAACAAAAATCCTCTCAGTCAGTTTTTGTTTTCCTCAGTTTATCTCATTAACCCACAATAAGTTAAAAATTAAAATCTCAGGAATTTTGAGCAACTTACAACTAGAAACCAAATCAGGAAGTACATTTTAGGATACCAGGGATTAAGAAGGCTTGAGTTTTCATCACTGACTAAGGGTGTGTTGTATGGCACCAGTACTGAACAGCTGTAGGGATTATTTTCATTTTAAACTTAGTGACACAAATAAATCCTTCTTAGGCTGAACATTGCAATTTATTTCTTTTGATTTTTTGAGACAAAGTCTTGCTTTGGGGCTCAGGCTGGCCTCAAATTCACCATCTTCCTGTGTCAGCCTGTTGGAATTACAGACATGTGTCACCTGCAGTGTTTTTTTAAACAGGGAAGGTGCTAATGTGTGAGTGCCTACGGAGGTCTTAACTTTACCTAGAGGAGTTTGAGCCTATCTAGGAGATGAACTGGAAGAAGTACAGTTTGATACCATGTTAATATTTTGAGTTCAAATCTTTGCTCCTGGCTTTTCTAATATCTGACATGGGAAAATTACTTAATTAACCTTTATTTCTTCCATGTTAAGCAAGGGTCTGTAAACCTCTAAGAGATGTTGTATTTAAATGAGTAAAGTGCTTCGTATATAATGTCTAGCCCGTGATAGGAAGAAATAAACAGGAGTTTCTTTACTCTGTGTCCATTTCTGTTTTACTAATGAGAGCATTAGTTAAGGCTTAGGAAGAAAATTGGCTTGCCTGGCTAAAATGCCAGTGATGTTCTTTCCAGTTCACAGCCCATGATACTCCTCGTAGGAAGCCTTAATGTTTTTATTAACCTCACTTTGCAAAGTATTCTTGAGGATTGAAAAGCAGTTATTGACTAGTACACTCATCTAGAAGAACTCTTTAGGGGCCATTATGCTTGGAATAATATACTCAATTATTTTTACATATATGAAGTACTTTCAGTGTTAAAATTTTATTCTTTATTTGGCAGGTCGACGAGATTAGAGAGATGGTTGATAATGATTTAGGTTTCCAACAGGCTCCGTTAATGTGCTATTCCAGAACTAAAACACTTCTCTTTATTTCTAATGACAAAAAAGTAGTTGGTTGCCTAATTGCAGAACATATTCAGTGGGTAAGTGAAAAATTTTTTTTTTTTTGGGTGGGACTGGGGTTTGAACTCAGGGCTTTGTGCTTGCAAAGCAGGCACTCTGCTGCTTGAACCACACTTCTAGTCCATTTTGAGCTGATTATTTTGGAAATGGGGTCTCAGGCACTGCTTGCCTGGGCTGGTCTCAAACAGTGATTCTCCTGATCTCATCTTCCCAGTGAGCTAGGATTAAAGGTGTGAGCTACTGGTGCCAGGTGGTAAGTGACTTTTTCTTAAACACAGTGCCCATAAGTAATTTGGTGTTTTAATGAGTTTATGTGTAATCATGAATGGTATACTCATGATAAATTTGTCAGTAAATTAGATGAGGATGAGTATATAGGCTGGGGATGTGGCTCAAGTGGTAATTGCCTGCTAGCAAACACAAGGCCCTGAGTTCAAACGCCAGTACTGCCAAAGAAAGAAAGAATGCTAATAATAATAATAAATAAGGAGTGTGAATGCAAAACTTTTGTAATTCTTCATTGTAGTAGAGTTTTATCTTATGTGAGAATTAGTTTTCAAAGTCCTAAGAGAATTCTGTAGAATCCAAAGTACTGTTAAAGTTTCGTTTAGGAAGTTTCCATTGTAGATACTAATGTAATCTCTTTCTCAGTTGGTCCTTTCAGCACTTGAATGAATCAAGTGTAGGCAAACTGTAGAGGGCAAAATGTGGCCTGTCCTTGTGAATGAAATTTTACTATAACATTGGCACACCCATTTGCACACGTTTCTCTGTGGATGCTGTCATACTACAAAGGCAGAATTGAGTAGTTGTAATAGAAACCAAGTGGGATGTGATGCCTGAAATATTTACTGTCTGACTATCTGGGTCTGCTTTTTGTTTTTTTTTTCTTCCCTAGTTTTTTTGTTTTGCTTTACTGGGGTTTGAACTCAGGGCTTTGTGCTTGCTAAGTGGGCACTCTACCATTTGAGCCACACCCTCAGCCCTCTTGCTTTAGTTATTTTTCAGATAAGGTCTCACATATTTGCCTGGGCTGGCCTTGGACTATTACCTCCTACCTCCACCTTCTGCATATCTGTGCTTTACATGCTCCACCATCCCCAGCTGTCTTTTGCCCAGGTTGTCTCCTGTCTCTACCTCCCATGTAGCTGGGCTTACAGACATGAGCCATCATGCCGGGCCTGTCTGGGCCTTAATACAAAGTTTGCCCACCTTGGAATAAGTCACTTTGATTGAGCTCTAGATGAGTAGTTGATTTGTGTTTAGCAGGCAAGTTGTTCCAAAAAACCAGACCAGAATCATAGTAAGGGATGTATTCTCATTATGAGTTACTACGTAGTACTTAAGATAAATCTAAGAGAACAGAAGCTTCTGGACTGCCTGATCATTATCACTTGAAGCATAACTGAAATCTTTTTTCAGCCAAGTCCATGCTCATAAATTCCATGTACATTGTATGTGACTACTGTTGGTGTCCTCACCATAGCGATAGCTGCCTGCACAAATGTATGATTCATCATAAATTTTTTTTTTTTTGGCAGTACTGGGTGTGAACTCAGCTCCAGTAGTTTGCTACTCAACAGTTTGTTGTTGTTTTGGTGCTGTGGCTTGTACTCAGGGCTGTGTGCTTGGTGGACAGCTGTTCTACCATTGAACCACTCCATCAACTGTTCTTTGTGTTGGGTAGTTTCAAAATAGGGTCTTGCGAACTGTTTTTCTGGGCTGGCCTTGAACTGTGATCCTCCTGATCTCTGTCTCCCGATTAGTAGGCATGACCCATTGGTGCCCACCTCATCATAACATTTATTTATTTTTTTTTGGCAGTACTGGAGTTTGAACTCAGGGCCTTACACTTGTTAGGCAGACACTACCACTTGAGCTTCTCCACCAGCACTCATGAAATTTTAAATAAAGTAAAAAGTTAAAATAAGTCTGCCTGAACTTATTTCTATTTGTTAAGTTACATGTCTTGCAAATTCAACCTGAAATTGTTCTTAGGAATCTTGCTATGGTAACAAAATTGATTTTAAATATAAAATGAGTAACTCATAGAAGTTTGCCATACTAAGATTTAAGTTTACATAGTGCAAACCATGTGTTTTTAAATTTCTGTTCTACCTAGTTCCAAAAATGACTTCTGACATTTGTAATGGTAACTCTTAATTTTGTTGTCCAATTACTTTTAAGTTTTGTAGTTTGTCCCATTAGGAGGGTGTTCCTTTTTTGACAACAACTAGATTGGCAGAGGAGATGTATGGTTTTTACAGTTACTTATTTTTCTATTTATTTAAAGAGACCAGAGTTTTGAGGAAAGGGCCTTTAAAAATCTTGATTTCTTGCTGTCTGTATTACTTCTTCTTGCACAGCTGTAAGTTCAAGAATTGTGCCAATAGTTGCAGGGACAGTTATTATTATTGCTGAGTTCTGAACATGTATTTTTGGTACCAGCAGTGTAGGAGTAGAGAGAACTGAATGTTCCATTACTGTCGTGGGCCACTCTGATGGCCACATGCTTTGTATGTGTGTCCTTATTCCTTATATCTCTCCAAATGAGAGACGATGGGTATGTCCAGTTTATAGGTGAGGAACCCTATGGCTTAGAGAAAGTAAGTGACTTTCTGTCATGGTCACATAACTAATAAGTCAGAACAGAATGTAGAATAGCTTTGTCTAGTTCCTAAATATGAGAGTGAAAGTGTTAGTAGTCTCCATAGTTTAAGAAGCCAGGCAAATGTAGTGACCTCTTCAACAAGATGGGTAATAGACAATTGCCAATCTATATTCTCACTTTAAGAATTTCCCCCAATTTTGATATTTATAGGGCTACAGAGTTATAGAAGAGAAACTTCCGGTTATCAGGTCAGAAGAAGAAAAAGTCAGATTTGAAAGGCAAAAAGCCTGGTGCTGCTCAACCTCGCCAGAGCCTGCAATATGTGGGATCAGTCGGATATGGGTGTTCAGCATGATGCGTCGGAAGAAAATAGCTTCTCGCATGATTGAATGCCTAAGGTAACTTGAGTGTAATTCTTCAGCTCATTTGCAGTAGTTTAAGATTTAAGCAGAGTTTTAGTACAAAGATTGGCATTTAACATAATCATAAACTTACAACTTTCGTTTTCATTATAAATTTGCCTAAGATTATCAGTGAATTGGATTTCTAAGTAGTCTTTGTGTGAAGTCAGTCTAAAGAGGAAGAAAGCACTATAAGGTTAAATATTATTAAGCCATTTCAGCTTAGTTGTTTGTAAGTATGATGTTAGAACAAAATAACACATTTATTTCAGTCTGTGTTCATATTGGAGAATTTAAAAACATAACCAAAAAATGGTGAAAAGTTTCTTGGGAGTTCAGCTTTTAGAGGAATTTGCCTAAATTTAAGAATATTATTTGTAAACTTTCTAAATCTCTTACTACTTTTTCTTTTATCACTTGTTTATTAAAGTTATAGAGAAGATACATTTTGTATGTTCTCTATAATGTACATATTTTGTAAGTTTTGTTTTTGGTGTATAAAGTTCCTTTGATGAAGGATTAATGAGGAGGTTAAAATTAATCAGAAAATGTTTTTAGGGTGAGGAGTGTTGCTCAATGATGGGTGCTTACCTAGCATGCTCAAGGCCCTGGGTCCTATCCCTAGCACCACCAAAAAAAAAAAGTTTTTAAGTCATTTTTTTGTTGTTGTTGTTACTTGCTTATAGAATCTCTGTCAACTATTATCCAGATAATCCGTTATTGTTATAAGTGAAAGCCTAAGGCTCTTAGCATCTAAGATCATTAATATAAATCTGTTCCTTTTGTGTCTTAACATAATAAAATGATACAATAATATTTTCAAGTGTCATCTATATTGTAGCATGTACCAGTGTGTTTCATCCTTTTTTTTTTTTCACTGCCAAATAACATGATGCAGTGTAATTACGTTTTCTTTATCCATTCATAAGTTAATGTACATTTGGGTTGTTTCTGTTTTTTGGCTATCATGAATAATACTGCTGTGACCACCCATGTATAAATCTTTGCATAAATGTATGTTTTTCTTTCTCTTGGGTGTGTATTTAGAGTTAGTTACTGGGTCATGTGCTACCTGTGCATTTGCTGTTTTGAGGAACTGCTGCACCATTTTATAGTGTACCAGCAATGTCACAGAACAGGTTCTGATTTCTCTATATCATCACCAACACTTTTTTTTATTTTAAATTCAGATCTGTTTTTCTTTTTGGTGGGACTGGAGTTTGAACTCAGACTTCATGTTTGCAAAGTATCTACTCTACCACTTGAGTCACATCTCACCAACACTTTTTAATTGTCTATATTTTAGTCATTCTATTGTGTGTAAAGTGGTAATTCATTATGTTTTTGTTTTGCATTTCCCTAATTACTAATGTTCAAATCTTTTCATGGACATATTGGCCATTTCTGTCCACTTTAAATTGGTTGGTTTATCTGTTCCTTATTGAGTTAAGTAACTGTGTATTTTGGATATAAGTCCCTTGTCATATGTATGACTTATAAATATTTTCTACCATTTTGTGTAGTTGTCTTTTCACCTTCTTGTCTTTTGAAACACAAAAGTTTCTTTTGATGAAGTGCAATTCCTATTTTTTTCTTTGGTCACTACAGTTTTTGTTGTCCTATCGGAAAAGCCATTGTGTAATAACCATGGCCACAAAGATTCATACCTGTATTGTTTTCCCAGTTCATAGTTTTAATTCCTATACATAGGTCTTTGATCTACTTTGATTAAATTATTTTATGTGATTTGAGGTACCATTATCACAAGTGGATATCCTATTTTCCCAGCACGGAATAGTTGGTTTTGACACATTTGTTAAAAATCATTGAACATAAATGTGAAGATGTATATCCGAACTCACAGGTGTATTCCATTGGTCTGTATGTCTGTCCTTATGTCCCAGTTACTATACATCTTGAGTACTGTAGCTTTGTAGTTTATTTTGAAATAAGGAAATAGGAGCCCACCTTGTTCTTCTTTTTAAAGATTGTTTTGGCCATTAGGCATCACTTATTTCTATGTGAATTTTAGGACCACCTTTTTAATTTCTCCAAAAAAGCCAGATGTAGGTCAATTTGTGGAAACCCCCCATTTTAACAATATTAAGTCTTCAAAAAGACTTAATGGATGTCTTTGTATTTATTAAGTTTTTAATTCCTTTCATTGGTATTTTATATTTTCAGCGTACAGGTCTTATACTTCTTTTGCTAAATGTATTCCTAAGTATTTTGTTTATTTTAATGTTGTTTTAAGTAGAATCTTAAATTTTACTTTTTGATTATTTATTGCAAGTGAATAGCAAATACAATTGATGTTTAAATGCCAATCTTGAGTATGCAGCCTTGCTGAACTCATGTATTAGATCTTTTTTATATACCAGGTCGTATCATCTGCAAAAGAAGTACTTTTCTTTCTTTCCAATCTGGATCCTTTTTTCCCTTTTCTTCATCTAATTCCCTCATTAGAACCTTCAGTACAATTATTAAAGAGGCAAGAGCAGCCTTACCTTGTTCCTGATCTTTGAGTTTATTCTTTCACCTTTCACCATTACTTGACATTCCTTGATGTCCTTCGTCAGGTTAAGGAGGTCCCTTAATGCTTTGTTGCTGAGTATTTTTATCATGTCAAAATATGTTGAGTAGATGTTTTTACATTTTTGCTTTTATAAAAAGATTAACTTTCCACATTCCCTTCCTCCCCCCCTTTTCTTTGTTTTTGTTTTTTGTTTTTTTTTGTTTTTTTTATAGGAGTAACTTTATATATGGCTCATATTTGAGTAAAGAAGAAATTGCTTTCTCAGATCCTACTCCTGATGGAAAACTGTTTGCAACACAGTACTGTGGCACTGGTCAGTTTCTGGTATATAATTTTATTAATGGACAAAGTAGCACCTAACACAAATCTTGCCTACAGTACCAGAAGACATCTATTGAAGAGAATGAATTGGTTACTGACTTTAACCAGGAACTAGGGCCATTTTTATTACAATGAACTCAGGACTGGCAATAACCACATGGTGGTTGTTCCATTTTCATAAAATTGGAAACAATGCAGTAATAGCTTATTATTGTTTTGTTTTTTAAAGAAGATATTTTATTATCTTTTACAGAAATTTATGATTGATGTATTTTATCTATAGTTATTTAGACATGTTTACATGCAGCAGATATTGTTCATAGTGGACTGAAAACTAATGCAAGGACTATGGTCTCAGTGATAAGTATATTTTGAAGTTCTTAATATGGAAATATACCAGTGTAGCTTGGTACTGTATTTTTTATATTGATCTGCTGATACCAGTTATAGGTTTAAAGATGGTGTTTTCACAGAATGAAAACCAGTGTTTTGAGTTACTACTCAAGGAGGGAAGGGTAGTATGTGTTTCAGCATTTGAAACTAGTTCTTAAAAGGCCTGAGATACACTTTAAAGAAACCCCTGCAGAAAAGGAAAGTTCAAACATGTGGAAAGAATTTGGAATAGGGCATTTTCTTCCATTTTTCTTTCCTATCCTTGATGGTAGGAAGGAGTGGAAAAGGGGTAAAGAATTGAGGCTTTCCTTCTTCTAGAGCTATAAATGACTAGAATTATGAAGGATACCTTCTAAGTTTATTATTTCATTCTGATTTCACTTTTTAAAAAATGCCAAGTGGGCCCAGCTGGGCTGTTAAAAATCTCAAAGAGGCTATGCGAGAACTCTGGAACAGTGGCAAGCTAGACATGGATGGCTTGGTATCTGCTTTGTTATTCCTCAGAAATACTGCACTGAGTATATCCCCTCATTACTGGACTTCATTCTCATACTTGTCTATCCTTCATAGTGCCCTCTACTTTTAAAGGGTTTATATGTTGAAAAACTGCTGTGGCCTTTTATGACCTGTATATAATGTAGAATAAAATAATAAAATACTTGATAGCTTTTTCTAAGTGATAAATGTACTAAGATAATGTGTTGTCATTTGTCTTTTTCAGGAAGTTTCATAAGTTTGAGATCTTGAAATACAATTAAAACACTGACTTCCTAAATAGGTAGTTTTTCACTAATTTGCCAAAGGATCTTATGCCAGCATCAACTCAGCCGAACTTTATCTCCAAAAGGCAAAATTCTTCCCAATATTTAGTAACATGGTACTTTAATGATCTTTCAAAGAAATAAAGGGCCACACCAAGATAAAGTACCACTATGGTTCCACTTGGATTATCTTTATGAGCTGAAACAACTCTATTAAAAACTGGCTGAAATTTAGCTCCTTAATAAAATCAATAGTCAGGTGTACATTTTATCCCCCATAGGGGGATAAAATACCATACCATAGTATGGTGTAAGACTTTGTACTCTGCATGGGTAGAATGGTAAGGGGGGTTAAATAATTTCACTGTAATTCATCATGGTGGCCTGGCTTTTGATACTACCTTTTCCCTTTGGGGTTGAGACTTTTCTAGTTATCCTTAGTCTTATTATTTGCGTGGCAGATACCATGACTGTTTAAAACCAGAATGAAATTTTGAGGTACAGTGTAAACTTTATAGTAACTGCTAACCTTCATAATACAGGTCCCATTTCAATGTGAGCCATGTCAAGTATGCTGTTTTATCAGGGCACACTTGGTAGTTTAAGGCGCCCCAGAGGAAGAGGGGGATATATATTGATTGGTTACTTTAAATCTTACTGTTACTGGGAAAACACATTACTTTCAAGTTAATAATGAAAACATAGCCCCTTAAATAAAATTTACAATCTAGATACTTCTCTAAGAGTAGTAGTATTTGTAGTACCTAACATTTGAGTCTTTGCCTGTATTTAGTGCTACATTATTTTAAACATCATGACAACCCCATGAAGTAGGGTTTATAAGAGAGGGACCTGGCATTTGAAAGATAATTAAGAGACTTCTGTAGCAATCTGTTGAAAATGTTGAAACACTGAATTAAAGCTGTGATGTGGGGATGAAGATGAGGAGATAGATATACACTGGAAAGAAAAAAAAAAAAAAACTGAGGAGTTGTTAGGTGTTTATAACTGGCCAGAGGAGGATCATGGAAAAGAATCTAGGGCGAGTGGGATTTTGATTTGGGGTAATTCAGCAGATGGATTGACTAAAATGGGAATATAAGGGAATTAGGTTGGAAGGATTTGATGGCAAAGAGTGAGCTCAGATTTGGTCAAGATTTGAAGATTGTTATAGAGCCTCCAAGTAGAAATATCTAGTGTACAATTGGAAATGCGGATATAAAGTTTGGGAGAGGTTTGGACTGAGCATATTTATGAGTTACTTGAAGGTTAAGAAGGTACCATCATGGGGTTTGTAACAGGAGAAATTATGAGAGCTCTTCAAGGAATACCATCATTTAAGCATCTCAAAGAAGAAGATCTGAGAAGGCATGATCCAGGTAAGAGAGTCAGAAAAGAGTGGCAGAAAGCAAGGGAAGAGTCTTAAAAAAAATCAAAGAATGGCTAAGTATGGTGTTACACTCCTGTAATCACAGTACTCAGGAGGCTGAGGCAGGCCATGTAGCCAACCTGGGCTATATAAGGAGACCCTGTCTCAAAAAGGCAGGGGTGGGGAGAGAACAAGAAAGAGTACTAGAGTGAATTTAGTTAAAGTTCATTATATGCAAGTATGGCAATATCACAGTAAAACCCCTTTGAACAATTAATATACACACTATTTAAAACATTAGAAGAAAAAAAAATCAGGGAATGTGTAACACCATGATATCACAATTGAAGACAGAAGAGTCCAAGTGATGTCAGAAAAATAGCTGTGTCTCTGGGGTGGTTGAGCAACAGTGAGTTTAGACCAATGGCTGTAGTCAAGCTTCAGAAGGATTGGAGTCTATAATTGCTGATATAAAAGTGTCTATAAATTTTTTGTTAGCTCTCAAATAGTTGGTCTTTTGTGAAAATAACTAGCATATAGATACTGTAGGAACCATGAGATTTGAAGGGTTATGCCCTTACTTGTGTAGACACAAAATGGTTAGTTTCTTTAGCAAGAATTGTAAAAGGCAAATTTCATCAGTTTATAACAAGCAAGAGTAAACTTGGTGTGCCTGCTAAAAGGATGAGTATTGTAAATCCAGTCTATGAGTACAACAGACCTGCAGTGGTATTTTAATTGTTATTGCTTACTTTGCCTGGCTGCCCAGCTACAGAGTCTTATCCCTTTTCTGTAGCTGGGCAGGAATATGGCCAGCTACATATTTAATACTAGTGCACCTATTATTAAAATTGCTGAGTCAATTCCTGTAGAAGTGACTAGAGATATATACCTTCTTTTTTTCTCTTGACTCCTGAAAGGGAAAAGTTCTTTCTGTCTCATAGGAACATCTCATGCGCATTATCCTTTTTTGTAAAAATAAAATACATTGAACCTCTTAGGAAGTAGTGAGAAAACACTTTGTGGTATTGCCTTTTCTTTCTTGTAACTTACTCTGTTGTCACTGAAGTAAATGCTCAGTACCTGACAGTTAAGTGTCTAGTGAATTTATTATCTGAACAACTTTTTCTTTGACCTTACAGGCCATTTCTAAAATCTTTAGTGATGGCTTTTTCAGTGAGGCGAGGACCTCAGTCTTACAGCAATATTCTGGCCCAAACTTAGGAGCCAGTTTGCATGTCTACAAGCCTGAGGAATGTTTGTCTTCTGGATGTTATTCCAGGGTGAGGTAGCTGAATGTGAAAGTTTGGCAGTCAGAATGTTAATAGTCTTTTCAGGGCAGCTGCTTGAAACAGGTGTAGAACACTGGTGTTCTCTATTCCCTTCAGTCTGTCATCAGACCTACAAACATTGCCCCTCATCAGGTAACTCCCTGGAGCCTTTGTCCTAGAAGAGTGTTTTCGTTAGTTCTCTTTCAAATTCTATTATTTTAGTACTCTTTACATATGAGAGCGGAGAGGCATTTTCTGGGGCAACAGTTATTCTCAAATTAGGTGTTTAGAAACAAATCAGATTAACAATAACACATATCATGAGTACTACATAGTTCTAGCAACTCAGAGTTCTGTATCTGAGGATACCAAAGTGAGAACAGTTACTTTCCATACAGTGAAAGACTGGGGCTGTACTGTGACTATTTCTAATCCCTCATTTCTCATTCTGTGATCTGTAATTATATGGAAATGTGTATTTGGGTCTGTAGCTATTTTATGTGTGTGTTATCTGCTTTGTATGAGAGACAGACTTTCGTTCAGCAACTATTTAGCATTTTCTTGGACTGTTGTGCAAAATAGAGAACCTTAGTGCTATCCAACCGATGATAATGGTACATCCAGCCTTTCTTAGACATTGCTGGAGTCAGGAAGTTCTTTCCACTTTTTTAACATACAGAAAATTAGCTTAAAGAAAACAAACTTTTTTGGGAGGTAGGGAATGGGAGAGAATTTTAATACATTCACCAAATTAAATGAAAGGACACGAACATACTGTAGACACAACTTAAGACAACTTAGAATTATAAACAAAATGTGAGGTAGACTGACTAGTGAAATTCACCAAATTTTGGTTAAGAAAATTTTACAGTAATAAAAACACAGGTACCCCCTTTTCTAAAAGTCACAAGAAGCAGTTGCATAAATTACAGCCAAAACAAATTGACTACAACAGTTCTTCTAATTTTTAGTTTACATTCAGTATTAACCTGTATGAACTGTCATATGTGCTGAGGTTCCAGCAGCCTGTAAAGTTACTGTGTGGCTTAGTGAATACATTTATCCCACCTCAGAGTCTAAGGGATGGATAAGCATAAAACTGCATACCCCAAGACACGCATTAACAAATCATGGTGTCCTGTGCTTGTGCAGTTTCATCCTTAAAAATGCCCTGAAAGAGGGCATTTTAAAAGATCCAAACCTTAGTAAGATAGGGTTTGAAAAGAAGAGGCAGGTCAACTGAAATGTTTCCATTGTCGGGGTGATGGTCATTGGCTTCATTCTGGCATTTCTCTTTCGCAGAGTTGAGTAGTATTTATGAGCTCGTAATCGTTTGAATTTCCAGAGTGCAGCCCTACCTAATGTGGAGCACCTGCATCAAGTAATTAATTTTTAAGTGTTCTTTAGACTATGAAGTTACAAAGCCAGAAGAAACTCTTTAAGAGGCCATCTGCCCCAGGTACAAAAACTGTTTTAGAATTGATTTCAAGTATTTTATTTGCCCTATGTAGTGTTATTGGAATATTGCACAAACAATGGTTTTCTTGATATCATCTGCACCAGGCCCTTTCAACAAAACAGGAGCAAGTGAAATACATTCATACATGTAAACCAAATTGCTTCAGAATGTACCTCTTTGCCAAAAACTCTGCTGTATTAAAGTTAAGGAGTATTTTTAAAGGCTATATAAGGCAGGTCTTCTTTGAAGGACAATTAAAAAGCGGGGTTAAAAGGAATTGTTCATTTCAAAATACATTTAAAGCATTGTAAGTAGCTATATTAAAACCAAGAGATCTACAAACCATCTTCAGTCTAATACATTCCATCTTCTCACTAGCTGTAAACTCCTTGTTTATCACAAGACAATAAAGCTGGTCAATTAACACTATTTGTTCTAAGTAAATGCAGGCTTAGTAGGCCCCTCTCAGTAGTTTCAGGTCATAAGATAGATTCAAGTAAAAATGACCATTTTAAATGGGGATAAAGTGATACATATGGGCTAATGAGAAAAGTCTGAAGAGACTGTTTAATGATGAACTAGAATAAGTTAAGTGTAAACTTCCAATAGAAGTTTACTGTTCTATTTCTGAAAATACATTTTTGATTAAAATTTTTGGTGAGAAAGCCATAGAAACTTAGAAATCTAACTGTTTATACTGGTTAAACACCACCTGCTGAGTTTAATTAACCAAAAACAGTCTTCATGGGGTTCTCTTTACTCCTCACAAAAAAGTACTGGTAGATTAAGTAAAACAGTTATTTCTCTTTCTATGGCTCTATTTCCCATTTCAGTATTTTCTGTGTTGTTATTGTAAGGCGGCTGGTACTCAGTATCTGTAAAAGGAAGCTTTGCTTGAGTTCCTGAATTTGACTCCACAACAGAATCTCAGGCTGACATATAAAGTTTGCTGGTGCCAACTGCTTACTTCCAACCAAAACAGGGTCGGGGAAGGTAAACTGCAGAAAGTTGCTGAATTGGCCCAGCTACTTAATCAGTTTCTTGCACAATAATAATCATAGTTCCATATTGTCATAGACTGGAAACTTTTTTAAAGAATGGGAAAAGCAAAGGAGTTAAGCTAAGAGAAGCTTCATAACACACGCAGTGCCTGCTCTGCATTTACTGATTCATTTGTTCAGTTTAAATAGTAAACTTTTAACTCCTGTGGAAATTTTGCCAAAAGTTTCAATACATATAAGAGTATGAATCTTAAACTAACACTGCACAGAGAAAAGACAAAACTACTTTTTTTTAAATACAAATATCTTCTACATTCTATCATTTCAGACCCCTGAGTAATACTGTACCCAAGTACAGCTCTGAAGAGAAACTGAGGGTTCAGGCCCCAAACATTAATCTTCAGTTAATTCCACACCAGTGGTGTGGGACTCATGTAACACATTCAAGCGAACTAATGCTGACAGTCAGTTTTCTCCCTAACATAGTATAGTAGAAAAAACAACACCAACTCCATGTTTGTTCTCCAAAGTCTTGCCTTCTCAGGCTCCCACAGGCAGACCATATCTTAAGTAACTGCATAAATGCCTACTGTGGAGTCCATCTGAACTTCAGGTTCTATAATTGGGACTGAAGGAGAACGATGTCCCCCAAAACTTGGGTTAGATTTGGAGAGTTCTTTGGAGAATAGACAAATATGTTGCACTTTGCTCCACAGTGATTGTACTTTAAGGAAAAGAAATCCCCAATAATTGTTTTGGTCCCACCCCATCTAGGCATCCCATTGTTATTTTTGGTTTCGTCAAAAGCTCATACGTGGCGTCCAGTGAGAAAGTAGAGAGGCTTGTCATCACTGCTGTTAGCAGTCTGAAACTCGTCCCGGAGGCGGAACTGCCATTCATCTTCTAGCTCTAAGCGGACGATTGTTTGGCGTAAAGAGCTTCTGTCTTGGCAGATGACACACAGGGTAGCACCTTCAGGAGAAAAGGCAGAAAGGTGGCTCAGGGTTGAATTGATAAAGATCCTTACCACCTCTCTTTGATATATTCCCAACATACAGGTAAGTAACCTATCAGAATTATCTCAAGGAGCTTTTTATAAAAGTATTAAAAGAGAGTGTGCAGCTGGGTGCCAGTGGCTCACATCTGTAATCCTAGCTACTCAAGAGGCAGAGATTAGGAGGATCACAGTTCAAAGCCAGCCCAGGCAAATAGTTCCGTGAAACCCTATCTTGAAAAAGCCCTTCACAAAAAAGGATTGGTGGAGTGGCTCAAGGTAAAGGCCCTGAGTTCAAGCCCCACTATCTCACACACACACACAAAGAGTGTAAAGTAAATATTGGTAACCAGGGTTTAGAATAGGGTTTCTCAACCTGAGCACTTTTGGCCTGGATAAGTCTTTGCTTGGGTAGTGGTGGGGGTGCTGGTGCTATTTTTTGTCTTATAGAATATTTAGCAGCATCCCTGGCTTCTGCTCACTGTATACTAGCAGCAGACATTGCCACATGTGTTCTGAGAGCTCCCACCAAGTTCCCAAGTTGAGAAGCACTGCTGTAGCAGGACATTACACAAACATGCGGTTTCTGTTTCCATGCTGCACATTGTGTTCTGAACACAGTGCTTCCATGACCTCAGAGGTCGTGTGTTGGGATTGTGATGCTTTATCTGCAGTGTTCTCAGCAAGTTTAACTCTGTGGTGCAAACCTACTGGAACAACTTTAGTTTCTGTACCAGAGTCGTAGCTAAGGGTTATGTCTTGAGGGCGCAGTCATGCAAATTCAGTGTAGTTGATTCCTGATCCAGGCCATATGTTACGTTCTAATTACTTTGTAGTCTATATACTGGCTTTATAAGTGTACAGGTAAGGTCATTAACCTGATCTGGGTTTAAACTAGATGATAAAACATAGGTTCTTGCATTCCTTTTAAAAATTAATTATGGTAAAAATGTGGTTTGTCACATCTGGCTGTTCATCTCCATTTTATCTTAGGATAATATGACTCGGTCCTCCCCCTCCCCATTAAGGAAATCAGTGGCTCTGGTCTAAGATTAAGGTATCCAAATTATTGGCCAAAATCAATGTGTTTGTTTTTTTTTAATGTCTTTCAACTGATTTTTTTTCGAGTGAGATCCAGTAACATTCACAATCTAGATACCAAATTTGATTTACCTTTTAGAAACTTAAATTTCTTAAGAAGATCAGCACCTACAAAAGAGTCACAGAGGTACAAGAGGAGTCCACTGAAAAACACCCCTTCACAATTGACATTGCTGGAGTGGGGTCTGGAGCTGATGTAGCAGATGGCCACCTGAAAGCATCAAGCAGAAATAGCAAGGGCTTTTCAAAAGCAAGCAAACAAGTCTGCACTTAGCTGAGTGAGTCAGTACCTTTCTCTTTATTTCAGGGTGAAGGAGCCCAATCCTTTTCAGGGTTAGCCTAAGCTTTGCATCTCTTTTGTTATAGAGTGCCAAGTTTTAACTAACTTATTTTTTATAGTGAAGGATAGTTTGACAGACATTAAGAAACTAAAGAAGCTCCTGCACCTAGAAGTATAAAAATTAAAAAAAAAACCCAACATTCCTTCCCTAACAAGGCATACTTTCAGGAGAGATTAAATGTTTAGGTTACCTTATTGATGAGAATAAAAATATTTTAATACTAAGTATTCAGTAAATGTTAGTTGTCATTAGTACTAGTATTGAGATTGTGTTGCCTAATACCTAGAGCTCTAGACTCTAGGGTAGTGGAATTAGGAGACCTGGGTTAGACACATAATTTACATAGATACCATCGAGGGTATTCTTATACCACATAGCTTTTTTTGAGACAGGGTCTTGCTGTGTCATCTGGCCTCAAACTCTCGATCCTCATGGCACAGCCTCCTTAGTGCTGAGATTATAGGTGTGTACTACCCCGCCTGGCCATCACATGGTTGAGGATATTCCTTCTATCTCTAAAAATCTATAATTCACGGCCTAACCTACAGTGTAGACTATTGAAACATTATAAAAATGAGGATGTAAAAGTTACCATTAAGTTTTAAAGATAATCCAACTGCCTTCAATTTGAGAAAAATTTAAAGTTAAAACAATTTGTGTACAGAGATGTGTGTGTTTGGTCAGTACATGCAAAGAAAACACCCTGGAAGTACATGTAGTATACCAAAATGTTTTTTGTTGTAGGTGATTTTTTTTTTTTTTTTAATTTGGGATCAAACCCAGGGCCTCATGCATGCTAGGCAAACACTAAACCACTGAGCTACATCCCTAGCCCTGTTGTAGGTGATTTTATTTTTCTTCTTTATACCTTTTCTTTTTTTAAAACAACTCATTAGGAGGATATATTGTATTATTGAAGATAACATAATTGAATGAAGCTTTAAAAATAACCCCAAGGAAAATCCTAAGGAAAAGCTTAATGGCAAAAGTCTGGAGGTGCGAGTGGCAGTTTAAAAAGCTGAACTAAGGACTAGTGGAGTGGCTCAGGTGGTAGAGCGCCTGCCTAGCAAGCATTAGGCCCTGAGTTCCAGCCCCAGTCCTGCCCCCCTCCAAAACAAAACTGAACCAGAAAACTGGTAGAGAGCTTGAGAAAGAAGTTCGGGGGTGGGAGGCAGAGAAGCGGCAGTTGTAGAGCTTATGTGGCACACATTCGTTTGTGCAGTAGTCACTGAGCTCCTCTTCCATGCACTAAGACAGCGTGTGCCTTTGGAAACTCAGTCTCATGGAGAAAGTCCACATGACTGCAGTACAGTCTGATCAGTGTCAAAAAGCTGCTTCTGCCCAGGGTCACTGAGGGAAGCTTCACAGAGCAGCTTCACTGTTCAGCTGTGAGTAGTCACTCATTCTGTAGAGAAGGACAGTTGCCATCACCTCTTGTGTGAGCCTTTGTATTAAATGGCACAGGCTCCCTCTTGTCACTATTGAAGTTTTCAAATCAAGCTAAAAGGGGGAAATGAATGGATGTGGGAAGGACATGGGAGCCACCCCACCTTTACCTCCTGTCCAATGTTAAGGTAGCAGTCGATGGCCAGCACAGGACTCTTGAAGTTCTGGATGGCTTTGGGGAAGAGTTTATATGCAGCATGTTGAAGGAACCTCTCGAGGAGAAACTGTGCAGGGGCTGCCAGAAGTGTGTGCTCACTGTCAGGCGCGCAGACGTACTGGAGGGGCAGGATGGGAGCTAGGCTCTGTGACACCTGAAATCAGAGCCAAGAAGTTCAGAGAAAATGTCTCTGAAGGAAACGTCAGGGATACACTGGATTGCTTTCCAACAGTCTCCACAGACGGAGACCCCCTTATCCGAAGTGGCTATGTTCTAAGACCCCCAGTGGATATCTGAAATCACAGTACATATACTATTTTTCTCCTGTACACATACACCTGTGATAAAGTTTAAGAAATCAACAATAATAGAATAACTATAGCAGTACCGTGTAATCAAAGTAGTGTGCATGTGGTCTTTCTCTAAAGTGAAAACATTAATATTTTCAGGCCAGGGTTAGCCATGGGTAACTGCAACAGCTTTTGCATTAGCAGCAGCACACAGTGACATGCTAGGTTCACATGTGTCTGTCACATTTGAAAATGATAGAGAAGTATAGGCCTATGGAATTTACTTCGCAGGTTTTATCTGTATTATCTTTCTAAAGAAAGTCTGGCAAAGGAGCAGGCAAGCATCTTGATTCACTTTTCTCTCATGCATTACCTAAGGAATATCACAATGTAAAGTTTGCCGTCTTAAAACTAGAGCTTTGTTGGAGTTGTTAAGGCTTTTAATTTTGTTAACTTGTCAAAACTTATGTTTTGGTTCTAGCTACTTGTAGCTGTAATCCTAGCTACTTGGGAGGCTGAGATTTGGAGGACCACCAATAGTTCTTGAGACCCTATCTCCAAAATAACCAGTAATAGAAATGAAACTGCATAGCTGACATTTAAGAACTCGCTTGAGTTACTTCACTTTCTAATTCTGGGGAAAGTATTTACTGACAGTATCTAATAACAAAGATATTCATCATTGTGCTTATTTTCAACAACAGAATCAAGTTTGGGTAACTTACCATGATCTTTGGCTTAATGATAAAGTCCCTTTGTCCTCCAACCTGAACTTGTTTCTTCATGAGACTGAAGTTATTAAAGCGGCAGATGAGCAGGCCACTACTGTTTGTCCTCAGGTTAAAGTCAACATCTTCACAGAAATACCTAAATCACAACCAGAAAGATAGGTTTCTTTGCCAGTTATATCTCAGCTGTGATAAGTACAGAGAAATGTGGCACATTTGAAGAGAGCCTAAAACATTTGACCTTACCCTCATGGAGCAGACCCTCAGCACTGATCTGGGAAAATCCCAAATTTGAGCAGTATAGCCACTAAGGAAGGAGGAAGTGGGGCAAGTTTGGTCCCAAATATGCCTCAGGGTTTTAGGTATTCTTGGGCAGAAATAGCAATGTACATTTTGCATACTCCAGCAGGGCAGGAGTGCTTCCAGTTTTAAAATTATAGCTACTGACAGGTACCAGTAACTCACCCCTGTAATCCTGGCTACTTGGGAGGCTGAGATTCGGAGGACCACCAATAGTTCTTGAGACCGTAGCTCCAAAATAACCAGAACAAGATGGACTGGAGGTATGGCTCAAGGGGTAGTGTCTGCTTTGCAAGCACAAAGCCCTGAGTTCAAACCCCAGTCCCACCCAAAAAAAAAGAAAAAAAAAAATCTGCCAAATTTAAAACACGGAAGTGGAAGCAACAGCTATTCTAATAGTTAGAAAGGTTGGGGACTGACATAAAAGGGACTTTGTGGTCCCTGACATTGATTCTTGGCCCTTCTGGTTTTCCAGGAATGTGAACATAATTTATTTAGGAGGCAAAGCCAAGGGCCAGCCTGCTCATCTCCTCTGCTGCCTTATTGAGGAAAGTGATTTCTTTCTGAGTTCTGAGCATGAATAGGGGGTTAGTCTTGCATGTTTGTGGGTCCACTCACTGACATACATTGATTGAACAGTTTTTGTACTGTTGAATAAGATGGCTGAAGTGTTTTCTCAGTTTCATACTGTAACAAAATGTATTAAGGGTCTAGGTAATTAATGCTAGGCATGGTAGTACATGTCTGTAATCTTAGCAATCTAGAGGCTGAGGAGGAGGATCATAAGTTGGAGGCCAGCTTGGGCCACATAACAAGTTCAAGGCCAGCCCGGGTTACATGGCAAGACCCTGTCTGTAAACTAAAAGGGGGTCTTGGTAGCTGGATGATGAAGGGGCTTATGATCCAAGACACACAGAGAGGAATAAAAACACTGCAGAGGCTGGAGGCAGACAGCAACAATCAGTAGATGCCAAGGTGGCCTGCATCCAGGAGGCCTGACCTACCTGTTGAAGTCATACTGCACATTCTGAGTCAAGTCTATGTTGAGGAGAATGAAGTCATGCACGTGGCACCTCGAGAATGGGGCCCTTAGGCTCTGAGAAGTCAGTTTGCTGCTCCATTTCTGTATGCCCAGGATTGCGTAGTGGACAATTTTTGGTGTGGCTTCAATATGCTGCAAGACACTCTTCAAGGACACATTCTTACTGGAAACTCCTGCTTCCATGGGCTGGCTATAAAATGTAAAGTTTATATAAAATGTATTACTGAAAAAGATCATTTATAAAGGACCAACACTACTATCTGTACACTAGGAATACTGTAAAAGATGTAATAAGCAGATTTACTTTGTATTAGCTTGGATTAGGGAAGTGTTACACCCAGTAACACTTCATGTCACTGCATGTCACAATTAAAGATGCTGTCTTTGGGGTGAGTCTTACCACTTAAGGCAGAGAAAGAAATCCACTGAGTAATGAACAGGTGTTACCAAAGAGAGGCAGCCAGAGGCTAGAATTCAAAGGTTCCCAGTTCTGGTAGTTATGTGTAATAAAGGAATAGGTGAAAATTTCACAGTTGAAGACAACAGTGGAAGCAAGGACAGAAAATCCCAATGTTTGAGCTGGAGTGGGCCTTGAGATCATCTAGCACCTTTGGGGGAGGGAGTATATTTATTGTAAAGGACCTTTTAAATGTTTAGCATTCCCTTACCTTTGGCTCCCTGACAACTACTCTCACTGTGATACCCCCAAATGTCCTCTTAGGGCAGTGCTCCTTCAGGAGAACCTGATTTTGGTTCAGCCATAATTTCAGTTTAGTCATGTGCTGGACTTGAGACTTGGGTGATGTAACTTTTCTTTTTCATATAGATATTTTAGAAAAGAGCTGGGACTACAAACCAGGTCTCTTTCCTGGTCCAAATGCCAGTAGTCTTTATGGATAAATCATAGTGTCTCAACAGATCTGTATAGCTAGCTAAACACCATCATGCAGAAATAGTCCAGAATTTAATGGCATACTGTGTCTTAAAAAAAATCCTAGACCACTGCAAAATGTGCTAGTAAAGGCTATCTCATTGTTGGCCCTGCTCTGGAAAGCTGTAGCTCTTTATTTACTTGGAACTGTTACTGCAAAAGCCTCTATGGTATAGCATTGTGTCATACTCCTCCAAAACTGCTTGCAAGTATCACTACCTGGTTTGCTCTTGAGCACTGTGAATGTTCCATAGGACACAGGAGTCATCCATCACGACGATGAAAGGCCAGACACACTGGCGTTTGACTCCCAGCTCTTCCAGGCGGTTCCTCTCCAGTTCTAGGTTGTGATAGGACAGCTCCTTAATGAGGAACCTAGCAGCACCTGGAAGGCAGCACAACCACAGCTACACATGCTTTTGTTCATGCTTGGCCAGTGCCCTCAGCTCACATTTTCTCTACAAGCATCCCAGTCACATGCCCGCCATGCAGGTGGGAGCCAATAAAGAGTTCAGGCAGTAGTTCTCTAACCAGTGGATATAAGAGTCACTGGGATGTCAGTTTAAAATGTAGATTCCTAGGCTCCTGGTCAGAGATTCAATTGAGTAGATCTGGGGATGGGCCAGAAACATCTTTGATGATGCATGAACTGCACTCTGAGGAGTACTACAAGAATCCAGCCTCCAGCCAGGCAACAATGGCTCTCATCTATGATCCTTGGTACTTTAAGAGGCTCAGATCAGAAGAATTATGGCTCAAGGACAGCTCAGACAAACTGTTCACAACCCCATCTCCAGAATAGCCAGAAAAAAAATGGACTGAAGGTGTGACTCAAGCAGCAGAACACCTGCTTTGTAAGCATGAAGCTCTGAGTCCAAACCCCAGGCCCACAATAAGTAAATAAATAAAAGGCTGAGGTACATAATGAGAATAGTGATGCCACATACGCACACACAATCAAGCTTCCTTGAAATGGGTTAGTTCCTTAAATCATGAAAAGCACTCTCCACTCAATGTCTTGCACTAGAGAGTACCCAGGGTTGCAGTGAGTGGGATGCCATTTCTACTCGTGACCCCTGCTTTAGATACCTTTAGGAAATTGGCAGTATCTTCTCTGAAGGTCATTCTGGAGACTGCCACCCTTTCCCTAGATCTGTTTTTCACAAGAGACAGTATGGTATAGTGAGTAAGAAAATAGATAGGAGACAAGCTGCCTGAGTTTAAACCTTGATTCCACAATTTTTTAGTCTTGTGACTCTGAACAATTCCACTGAGCCTTGGTTTTCCCTCCTGTGAGAGGTGATGATTGTGTCTATCTCACAGAGTTGGATGGTGCTCAGGGTGATACCTACCATATCATAAGTACTCAGTGAATGTTAGTGATAATTAAGATAATGACCAGAAAGAATTAGCCAAATTCTATGAGTGGGCTACCTTAAAATGAAACAAAGTGTAGATTATAATGAAATGAAGAGGCTGAAAAAAAAAAAAACCTACTAAATCTAGAGAGGAACCCAAAACAGTTTTATTAAGTTGAGGGTAATACTGGGATTCAGGAAAACCTACCTTCTGAGAGTATGTGTGTAATAGTTTACATCCCAACATAATAGGCATATATAAAAAGTCCACACTAACATCATCATGGTGGTGAAAGACTCAGTTTTCCCTCTACAATCAATTGGTAGTTTGCTTTTATCACTTCTATTTAATAGTACTGGGAGTTCTAGCCAAAGGAAAAAATAAGTCATCCAATGTGGAAAAGAAGTAAAATCATCTCTCCCCAGATAATATGTATGAGGGAAATATTAAAAGCTCCACAGAAAACTCTGTTAGGAGTAATATAAAGATTTAAAAAATCACTAAAAGTCAGCTGTATTCCTATACACAAAATAAAGTCTAAAACTCCTTTTACAATAGCATCAAGAAGAATAAAATACTGAGGAATAAACCTAACAAGGAGACAAAATTTTGTACAGTGAGAAGTACAAAAGGAAGTTGAAGATACCAAAAATGGAAAGATCCCATGTCTACAAATTGGAAAACTTTATCTTGTTGGATGTCAGTACTACCTAAAGTGATTAATAGATTTAATACAATCCTCATGACTTTTTGCAGAAGTAGAAAAATCCATCCTTAAATTCATGGAATCTGAGGACACCCCAAATAGCCAAAACAATTTTGACTCACTGGTACAGGTAATGATTTTGTAGCTAGGACTCCAAAGGCACAGGCCACGAAAGTAAAAGTAGACAAATGGGATACAGCAAACTAAGAAACTTCTGAATAGCAAATTAAACAACCAACAGAGTTAAGAGACAACAAAAACAATGGAACAAAATATTTGCAAACATTTGATCCAATAAGGAACTCAAAAAGCTAACTACTAGAAAACAATTTAAAAATGGGCTAAAGATCTGAACCAGGCACTTTTCAAAAGAGAAGTGGTGGTGCTTTGCCTGTAATCCCAGCAGTTGGAGTCCAAAGTAGGAAGATTGCAAGTTTAAGACTAGCCTAGACTACACCGCAAGACCCTGCATCAAAAAACCAAAAAATGAACAGAAAAGACAAAGGGTCAACAAACATGAAAAGGTGTGGTTTTCATAGGCATTTCTCTGATACAAATCAAAAACACAATGAGATATCATCTTACCCAAGTTAGAATGGCTATCACCAAAAAGACAAAGAATCCATGCTGGAAAGGTGCAGAGGAAAGTGAACTGCTATGGGCTCATGCCTGTAATCCTAGCTACTCAGGAAACAGAAGATCGTGGTTTGAAGCCAGCCTGGAAATAAACAGTTTGAGAAACCCTATCTCAAAAAAAAAAAACCTTCACAAAAAAAGGGCTGGTGGAGTGACTGAAGGTGTAGGCCCTGAGTTCAAACCCCAGTACTGCCAAAAAAACCCCCAAACAACAACAAAAAACCAAACAAATCTTATTACTTTAAAAGCCATAGTAAAGTAGTGTGGTAGTGATATAAAGACAGACAGACGGAAAATCCAGAAATAAGTCCTCTCGTATATGGTCAAGTGATTTTAAGAGTGCCAGACTGGGGTAGGGGGTGATTGTATCTTCATCAAACTATGTTGGAAAAACTGGATATCCACATGCATAAGAATGAAGCTGGACCCTTACAAGAATTAAACTGCATAGGAATTAATTTAAAAATAAGACTTAAATAAAAGCTAGAATTACAGGATATTTAGAAGAAAGAAAAAGACTTCATGATACTGAATTTGGCAATGATCTCCTGAACCAAGAATTGAGAAAAGGAAAACTAGTTTCAGGATTTTGTGCATTACAGGACACCATATAACAGAATGAAAAGGCAATTCATGGAATAGGTGAACATATTTATAAAATGCCTTCTAAGGAGTTAAAGTCCAGAATATATAAAGAACCCCTATAATTTTTAACAACAGAGTGATCCAATTGAAAAAAATGAGCAAAGGACCCTGGGAGACATTTCTTTAAAGAAGATAGATAACCTAAAAGCATATGAAAACAAAAAAAAAGTTCTACATTCGCTAATCATTAGGGAAATGCAAATCAAAATCAAAGTGAAATACCACCTCAGACACTCACAGAAGCTGGTGGGGAAAACTTAAGAACTACAGTGCAAGAAGTGCCCCAAAACACAGCTCAGTTAGAGGTTGCCTGCTACGTAAGAAAAATGAAGGTGTTCTAGACATCCTGAACCTTCCACAGCTGTCAAACACTCAGAAACCACCAGCCCTTCTGAGAAAAAGTAGGAAGGACTCTTGCCAGTCACTTTTACTTTGTCACAGCATATTGATGCTTCCAATTCCTGATTGGACAGCAGACTGCTAGAACTTGCCATGTGCTCCTTCCTTCAGTTCCAGAAGAACTGAGTCAGGGTCCTGCCAGATCAGGTACAGCACTACCTCCCCTCCCTCAGACCATCTTCTTCTCAGAGCTACGTTCTAGCTTCAAGTGCTCAGTCCAGGAGTATATGCAGCCTACCTTGGGAAGAATCCTAAATGCTTCCCAGGGTACTCAATATACAAGTGACTTCTTCCTTAATCACTAGTCCTCAGAAGCTAAAAATTTTGCAAAACTTCACAAGTGGGGGGTGGGAGGAGAAATTCAGGTAGAATCAAAAGACCTGTGGTCAATAGGACAGGACAGTTTCCAGAGGCCACCATTGGAAGTTTCATGCTAAGGGAATGGAGCTCAGTTTGTCTTTTCAGCCCTTCTCCCTGCCCCGGGGTTCCCCTTACCCACGCCTGCATTATTGAACATGCCAGGAAGCACCAGCATGATGTGGTTGGGCCAGTACTTGCGATACAGCGGCATCTCATATTCTTTGACCACCAGGAGGTGAAGGTGGTTGATGCCCTCCATGGCGTGGAAAAGGTTTAGGAGTCCATGCTCGTGTCGGCCACTGGAAGGAGTGAAAATAGGGCTCTTGACTGCATTCAAATTCTGCTGAAAGGAAAACAAATAAGAGACCAAAAAAAGGGAAAGTAAAACCCTTAGATGTGAGTAGCTTAAACAACTAACCTAGGGCCTTGATAACTGGCAGCCCTCACATCCAGACACTCTCACCCACCTTGTCTGAAACCAGAGGCAGCCGCATGCTCTCCAGGTGTTTGCCCTGCTTGCTGAAGACAAAATGACTCTCTTTGGATTTGGGAATGATGAAATAGAGCTGAACCTCTTCTCCCAGCATAGACGAAGAAAACGTGAATGCATGAAGGGTGGAATCAGACATCTACATTTGTAAAGAAGAAAGGAAAGGAATTGTAAACACATGTTTTTCAGACTTTCAGGCCACTTCTTCAGGTTGTTACCAAGAGAGGTAAACTGAGCTGCAGCATGCAGAAGGCTGGGAAGGCAAGCCCTTTATTTAGTAGCTGCCAAGCAGCTTTCCCTACAAGGCCTCGACACCATGGAGAAGCACTTGTTGGCACTGTCTGCGTTCTTCCTGCACTGAAGGTTACAATGCTCAGTCTTGTGCAGGGGTCAGACATCCCTGTGGCCTCTCCTACTAAGTATGCATTCCCAAAGGCTCTAAGTTATGAAGGAAAAAGACTTCTGTTCTACATGAGTCAGGCGAGGGACTGAGTGTCAACTCTAACTGAAATGGTGACTTAGGTATCATTAAAATCCCTCTGTAGCCCCATATTGCCTGGCTACAGTGAAAGATGAAGAGCTTTGAGCAGTCATTTAGCCTAGAATTCTGGCTAAATGGGGGAGACGATTTGACTCATCAAAGCCAAATATAAATTTAATCTATTTTAAAATTGCTGGATGATCACGTGCTCTCAGGAACCTGTCTCCAATGTAATAGGTCTCTAAGAGCTTTATAATGTAGACAGTATTTGGCTTAATGAAAGGATTACATCAGTTTTTACCAACAGCTAGAATCCAGGTGGTTTCCCAATAGTTTTAACTTAAATATTACATTTCAGGAAAAAAATAACATTGTAGTTTTCTCATTAATTTTAGTTTATTCTGCTTTACAAATGTACTGTGATCACGCTGAAACTATACGAAGAGTTTGTCTTGAGTGGGCAGTAATGGGGTTTGAACTTAGGGCCTCACATTTGCTAGGCGGATGCTGTGCCACTTGAGCCACACCCCAATCCTTTTTGCTTTGGTTATTTTTGGAATATGGGTTTGTGCTTTTGCCTGGACTACAATCCTCCTATTTATAACCTTCCTTGTACCTGAGAAGATAGGTGTGTCCACCATGCCCAGCTTATTGGTTGAGACAAGGTTTCAGTAACTTTTTGTCCAGGCTAGTCTTGAACCTCAATCCTCCCAATCTCTGCCTCCCAAATAAGTAGCTGGGATTACAGTGTGAGCCACTGTGCCTGGCAAAGAGGGCTTTTAAAAGGAACTTTCTGTAGAAATCTATGATTTATAGACCAGGGAACCTGCATCTTCTGTATCCTGTAAAATATTGTGAGCTGATTTCAAAGCACCCACCAGTAAAAATAATGGGATACAAAAGGTAATTTGCATTCTAGTTTTACAGTGCATTGTTTCTAGTGCCCATTTGTATTTCACGTTACAATGTGGGGGAGGAGGACCTGGTCTTGAAGAGCTTAAACAGGTTCAGCAGTCCTGGGCATCTTGGCTTAGAAGCAGCATATGGAGATGTGCTCAGAGCCAAGTCATAAAAATCAAGAAGCTAACACTGGATTTCCTGTGGAACTTACCCCCAAACAGGTGCTGGGCACTACTGTCATTTTCTGCTTTTCCCTTTTTTTGTGCTTAAAGACACACTAGACAAAAAGAAACCAAATATAGCTGGGGGTGGCAGAATGTGTACTTAGCATGTGTGAGGCCCTGGGTTCAAGTCCCAGCACAAATAAAGTAATAATAAATATCTGGGCATGGTGCCACACATCTGTTATCCCAGCACTCAAGAGGCAGGAGGATTTCGTGTTCAAGGCCAGTATGGGCTACAAAATGAGAACTTGTCTCAAAAAAAAAAAAATTGAAATGATGAAAAGACCAGCTACTAAGGGGTATAGGCTCACATCCTGTGTTTCTGTCGCAGTCCTTACTCCTTAAAACAAACATACATTGACTCCACTGGTCAAAACCATCCCAGCCTTAAGTAAGAAGTGACTAGCTTGGTGCAAATCAATAGACATGTTTGGACCGAGGGTCCAAGGGCACACCTGTGGATCTGCTGGATAATCACGGCCTTTTGGTCAACAACCTGAAGTGGGGGGACCTCTTACCAAGTCTATTATAGTATCTAGCTTTTTCAGGATAAACATCTCAGCTACTTTTTAACCTAAACACAACACAAGTAGCCATTTAGGTGAAGTAACTTTAGACTCTGAATGGAGCTGCTTTCCTCCTGCAGTTTGGGGAAGCCCAAAGTTCAGCTTATCACTGCTTTGGGCACTTTCTTATCAGTGAGTGTCTGCCTCTCATAATAAGCTATCCTTTTCCTACGGCCTGAAAAGTACTTGGTTTTCATTCTTCTACGCCATCCTTACATACAAAATCCACATTGCTAGCAGAGGCCAAGGCGTGATCTGCACCTGGGAGGCAGGGGTGAAGTCCATGTACTGGTGGCACTGCTCACAGTGGTGAAAGGTGTTGTAGGCTGCATATTTGGTCAGCATCATGGACACGGTTTCTCGTTTCCGGGACTCTTCAACTTTGCATTCCTTTATTATTTCTGTGAATAAAGGTGCAGAATACTGTTAACTCCATAATGGACATAGGAAGGCCCCTATGCCTGGGAAGAATAGTCCCCAAAAGGACTTTTCCAAGGATTCTGTAATTTATGTCCCGACAAGCAGGTATAAAAGTCAAAAGATGATGTGCATGTGTGTAAGAGAAAAAACGAAGAATTATTTAAGCAGCCCTCAAAAGATTTAACTGTCCCTGGCCTCCTGCCCCACATTAGTATTTCTTTGGCCTTCAAAGGATATAAGCCTGGCTTCCTGTGCACTGACCTTGTTTGACCCCTGCCAGCTTCTCAGTATATACCAGGCTCATCAGACGGTACTTAGGATCATGCACACTGACATCAAAAGGCAGTTTGCTGAAGCTCTCGATGTCAGGCCAGGGCTCTCCTTCTGACTGGCTCACATCACTGCTTTTGTTGTAATCTAGGACAAGAAAGTGCACAAAACGGGTAGGATGCCCTCCCTCCCTCCCTCCCTTATGTCAGGGGGAGAGGTTTTCTCAAATGTAAAGCCCAGATGGGTGAACAAAGACATTTTTGAGAAATGAGCACCCCCTACCCCAGGATAGAAGGAACAGAAGCTTTCCTTCAGACCATGCCAGGAGGGGAGGAGCGTTGCCCTCATTGGCGCTGTGCTAAACTCTAGGCCCCCAGTTCACAAAACTCCCACATCCATCAGGTCAACCAGGTCTCCCACCCCAGTGTTCTTAAAAACTTGTTTAATTTGGATGATCTAAATTCTTAAGAGTTTTAACTGTGGGTTTTTTTTTTTAATAAAGTGATAGTAAAGTTTATTAGGAAAGAAATACACTTTAAATAGACTAAAAGAATGAAGCAGCTGTGTGATACCGATGCTCAAGAGATCTTAGGACAACTAAGTTGTGAGACTCTGGGTAGCTCACAAACCCCCCACACTCGGGCCCCATTCCTGGGAGTGGTAAAGTCAGAATCTGTTTTACTACCCAAGCACCCAGCTGTACCATTCTAATGTGCGGTCAAAGTGGAGAGCCCCCAGACCTGGCCATGAATTCTGCTTCTGCTCCTTACTACTTCACACCTGTAGGTACTAAACTTAACCCCTCAAAATGCCAGGAGAGGGGGAGGGGGAAGGAGAGAGGGGGAGGGGGAGAGAACGAGAACTGGGGTTGGAACTCAGGGCTTCACATTTCTCAGGCAGGCTCTACCACGTGAGCCACTTGCCAGCCCTTTTTTCGTGTGTGTTGGGTATTTTCGAGATAGGGTCTCAAGGTGTGGGGCTGGCTTGGAACCGAGATTCTCCATGTCTCTGCCTCCTTAGCTAAGATTACAGGTGTGAGCCACTGGTGCCCAACAGCGCCCAGATTCTTAAAAGCACTGGGGGTGGTATATTTAAAGTGCTGTGATAGTGGCAGGTACATAGTGTGTGTCCCAACAGATGACATTTATCGTTATTAATTAAATGTATAAGATCAAAAAGTAGCTTAAGAATCTTAAGCCTAAAGGGAGAATGGAATGCACTTGTAAAAAAAAAAAAAAAGCCTAAAACTGCAAGTACAACTAATACAAATAATAGGGGTTTTTTTGGGGGGGTGGCGATACTGGAGTTTGAACTCAGGGCTTCATGCTTTGCATGCACTCTACTACTTGAGTCACACCTCCAGTCCATTTTTTTGCTCTGGTTATTTTGGAGATGGGGTCTCACAAATTACTTGCTTAAGGCTGGCCTCCAACCATGATCTTCCCAATCTCAGTATCCCAGGTAACTAGGATTACAGGTGTGAGCCACTGACAACAGTTTAATACCCTGAGTTGAAGTCTGCATTTCACTTAAAATTTCAAGCATGTTCTAGTTAGGAAGGTATCATTGCGCCTTTCCAGATATGTTAACCAACACTAAAATGAGGGAGGAGGAAGAAAGCCAAAGCTTGCCTGTCAGTCGTGCTAGACCAGACTCAGAGCCAGGGTCTCTCTAGCAGGATCTGAGGGTAAAATTAAAGGCATTGGCTCTATTCTGTGCCAAGGAGCCTAGTGACAGAGTTGGCAGGAAATATAGTGCCTTGTTTCTGATCTGTTTGCTCTGGCTTTGCTCTTATGACACCAGACCCTTTGCAGGGTTTTCCATGTTTTGAGGACAACCTGGAGCTCTGGTTCCTCTTTGTGCCAGGCCTGGGGATTTGGTGCAGCTCATCTCAGACACGAGAGTGTGAGTGGGAAGATGAGACTGTGTGTATGTGCGGCTTGTGTGTAAAATCATGGATATGAATTGGTGAGAGATAGAAAAAGAATTGGACCAAAAATAAAATGATTAAATATAACTGATTTTAATCACTCTTGCCTGTACTACATTAGTTCTTTGTGCTGGTCACAGAACAGGCCCATCTGTTTTCAAAAAGCAAGTGAGGGGCTGGAGGTATGGCTCAAGTGATAAAGCCCCTACCAGGTGTGAAGTCCTGAGTTCAAACCCCAGTACTGCTAAAAAAAAAAAAGTGAGGTGAGATCGCTAAAGAGCTAATTTGATAGCAGATACTAAAGGGAGTCCTTAGTGGGCATATGTTTGAGGGACTTCAGAAGAACTTCTACTTGGTGGCCTTGTGCATGCTCTATTACTGAGCTATACCCACAGCCCTGTCAAACTACTGTCTTGGATATCATTGCAGAGGAGAAGGGGTTTTGTTTGCAGCACTAGTTGTTAGTTCTGCACACAAAGGTTTTCATTTCATTATAGTAATCCTGTGCCTTCACTGAGGACCTAAAGTTAAAAATAAGATACACACTAGCTAACCAAGGAAGGACTTGTATCCCTAACATGCAACCAGAAATGTGCCCTGGATCCTTCCACAGCTGAGCACTACAAATTGATTTTCACACTGGTTTAACCATTTAGGCAATGAACCAAGAGCAAACCTTTATAAAAAGCCTCTTGCCCAGCAGTTTGTTGGATAATGAACAGAGGGATACCCTCCTGACCTTTAGGAGCTAAAAGGGTGCTGTTTACTTGGCAGTACTTGCTAGATAACATTGTCTCCAACGTCAAGATACTTGCAGGTTAGTAACTGCAAGTTAGTTATGGTAGGCACCTGGAGTGGAAAGCAAACTCATGGCTTTCTCTGGTTAGTGCAACTCACCGGTGTTGATCTCCTCCTCGTCGTACACGTCTACCTCCAGGAGCCGGATGAGCATGCGGAAGAGGATCCTAAGGAACTGTAAATAGGAGCCAGTCTTTCCCACCTGATGGAAATATTTTTAATTGGGGAAGGGTGGAGGAGTGGAAGAGAAAGGAGGGAAAGAGAAAAGAAATTTCACACCTTGGCTCTTCCAGCTGAAAGGCCTAAATGAGTCCTCAGGGCTGTGCCACTCCCATCCACCCCCAAGAGGTGCCCTGGCTTCTCCCCTTTTTGGGGAAAATGTGCTAACCCCAGGCTAAGTCAGGGCCCAGCCTGGCCCATCCCTACCTGGGGGGGCCCACTCAGCAGCAGCCGCCGTGGATGGAAGGTCCGGGCACCTGAGGCAGAGTCTGGCTGGTTGCTGTAGTCAGCGTGGTGCTGCCTGGCTGAGGTCCACTGCCGGTAGTAGAGGGACTGCTCCTCGCTGCTCATGTCCTTGTGCAGGCTCGGCCTCAGGGAGCTCACCCAGGCCACGTCAGCATGTGGTAGCAGGGATGAGGAAGATGGCAGCTTACTGCCCTTCTGGGAGCCCAGGAGACTGTAGGCCGCCTTAGATAAGATAACTACTGGGGGCAGGGCAGTGTGCAGGCCCCTAAGGCCTCTGGGGGGCTGTCCTGGCCATGCAAGGCTCCGGGAGCCTGATGAGGATGAGGAGGGCTTGGAGGTGGTGCTGCTGGCCATCAAAGGACCCAGGGAGTCACACTCCTGCTTCAGGGTCTCCCCAGCCCTGGCAGTGCTGGCAGAGACCCCTTCATCCAGCCCCACACTGGTGACTGGGCTTTGGAAGCTGGAGGTCAGGGACTGCTTCTGGGACTTGTCAGCTGTACTGGAGGAGCTCACCCCATTCTCCATGATGGAACCTGAAAGAGAATGGATGGCACTCACTCATACCCACACTTCACCAATGCCCAGGGAAGGAGGCAGAGGCCAGGAAACAGCTGCAACCTGGCTTGGCTGTGTGGGCTACAGACATTGTGGTAGAATCTTATCTTTCCCTCTGTCTCTACACCCCTCCATCCTCTCCTCTGCCCCAGCTTCTCAGTGGGTTTGGCAAATGGGAGATATCAGCGGGAAGTTGATTCTTCTTTGCCTTCCCCTCTTGCATGGTCACTCCGGGTATCTGCATTTCTGTACTGAGAGCTGCAGGTTTCTAAGAGTCCCCTCACTTCTCCAGGTCTAGTGGAGGTCAGAGTGTTTCTAAAAAGGAAAACACTGGAAGGTTCTTGGAAGATGCATCAGCCATGGAGTTGTTAATTAGAATGGAATACAACGTCATATCCTAATCTTACTACTATGCTGCTTTTATAACAGCAGTTACACATACCTCTGAATTATAGTATATAGGCCTATAATGAGCAAAAAAGGAATAACAGCTTTTAGAAGGAAAACACCAGAAATTTTGAAGATGTGTTAGCCAAAGAGTTCTTTCATAGTAGGGAATACTGTCCTACATTCTAAACTTTGGGGATCCAGACCCCAGCACTACACAACCTCTTGCTCCTTTCCTAGGTCCTGCCCACATCTTTGGAAATAAGTCCCTTTATTAAACTCTCCTCAAACACCCTGGTTCAGAGATACCATCCTCTCCTGCAGGACCCTGATACCTACAGGCTCCACACCTCTGGCTGGGGATCATCTGTAGGTAAGTGCCCAGGTTGTAGCCATTTTCCAAATTAGGGAAGACTACAGAAGGCAGATCTGGTGTAGTCCTCCCTGCATGTTTGGCCAATTCACTTCAAGTATGCTTGCCCCAAATAGAGCAGCCTTTCTGTGATTTGAGGACAAACCAAAAGCTCCTACACTCAAGGCTGAGTGTAGGAGGCACTTGCAATAGGCAAGTGGTTCAGTTCCAGCCTTGGAAGATCTTGACAAGTAGCTGCTAACTGGCAGTGATTAATCCCAAGCCACTACACTGCTCCTCTGACTTTCTTGTGGGGCAGCTTGTCTTCCCCTCACAGCCTCATCACCCTCTGAGGAAGCCCATGAGGTCTGCATGCTTAGTGTTGTGAGCACAGCCTGTGGGGTAGAAAACCACTCAGTAAAAGACAAACTGCAAGTTGATTTGAGCAGCCAACACGAGTTGTGTAGGGTGGCTGTACTGGCAAAGGGAAAGGGGGAATGTGACAAAGAGCCACCAGGAGGGAGACTTCCTCTGCCCCTCACCTTTCCCTTCCTGATGAGAATTCCTGTGCTTCAGATGTGACATTTCCCCTCCCTTCTGTTACTCTCCACTATCCTCTGATTATTTTGATTTGACCTCAGAGGGAAAACTGGGGAGCCTGCACTGGTGAGGTCAAGGGAGGTGGAGGGATAAACAGGGTCAGCTCTGACCCTGCTGAGGGAGAGTGGCTAGGCACAGCAGGGAGAAGGGCAGTCCATGCTTTCAGGTCACTACAAACAGGAAACCACTTAGGCAATGGTCTCTTCAGTTCCTACAGAGGGAGCGAACAGCTGCTGACAGAATGCACAGGAAGAGTAGAGCCACTTTGTGTGTGTGTGTTTGTACATGTGCGAGAGAGAAAATGACCTCAATGATAGTTCAGAAAAAAGTGAAGGAGGAGGGCCATGTGGCCCAGTGTTAGTGGTGGTTCCCTCTGGTGGTGGGATTATGTTTCACTTCTGTACTTTGATATATCTTCCAACTTTTCCGAGTGAAGCTTTATTACTCTCATAATCAGAGAAAACTGGAAACAGGGCTGCATTTGCTGTACTGTATTTTACTGGATGAAAATTCACACCAGGCCTTGCCATAACACATGTTACTATAAGAAGGGGGGCCTGCAGGCTGCCTGGTGGATTTTCATAGTTGACCAGTGGCCCCAGAGCAGCGTTCATGGTACAAACACTTGCCATTAGGTATTTAGGAAAGTCATCTGTTCATTCCTTCATCTGTGCCAGGTACTGAGTCACTAAACATAAACTTACAGCCCCAGGTCCTGGAAGAAAAAGAGGGCCTTTGTATAAATATCATATGCAGAGTAACTGTGAGGAGATAAGGATGGGAAACACTAGGGAATATGGTGCAGGATGTGGCTGGTGAAATCTGGTTATTGAGTTTAGCCTATCACCAAAGTCTTGTGGCTGTTCAGCTGTCCTGCCTTCTGGGAGACTGAGGTCTGGAGAGGAGGCCACAGTGTCTGAGGCTGCTGGAGGCCGTGGGAGTCAGTGATAGGCTATGCCTTCCACACACCCACACACCTCTTTGCCCATCCCTCCCACAAAAGAGGAGCGAGCACTGACCTGAGGTTCCAGTGACAGCACTGCTATTGCTCTGCGGCCGTTCTAGGTCAATGAGCAGCTCCTCGGAGTCCTTCTCGCTGCTAGGGGCCTGCTCTGGCTCCTTCCCACTGAGGTCCAGGGCAGCAGTGGGCCCCCGAATGACCTCCTTTGAGACATAGCAGCATGCCAGACCCACCTCCTGCTCCAAGGCGGTGCGAGTTAAATAGCTTGAGTCGATTAACCGGAGGTCACAGTACTTCAAAGACCTGCACAGAGTAAATTCGTTGGTGTCAGATCCCTCTGGTTAGGCATGCAGTGTTTAAGCATACATGGAAGTCCTTGGGTAGCTGTGTAGTGAAGACCACAGGCTTCCATGCCAGCTAAGCCTGGTTTAAACCTCACCTGCCACCTCCCAGGCATCAACCTAACTTCTCTGTGCTTCACTTTCTTTCTCATTGTAGAAAGGACAATGAGAAGCCCCCAGAAGGGCTGGGGTATGGCTCAGTGGCAGAACACTTGCTTAGCATATATGAGGCCCTGGTTTCAATTGCCAACACCACCAAAAAAAACAAAAAGGGTAAGTAGAGAGGAGAAAGGGCTGTCAGTGCAGGGAAAAACGCATGACACATGGAAGGCATTTTGGACATAGCCTGACCCACATGCAGTACACATCAAATAGATGCTTTTATTGTTGTTCCCATCCAGTCTATGGACCCAGATCCTTCAAGGGGTTGAGAACAGCAGATTTACAGAGACAAAGTACTTTATCAAAAAAAAAAAAAATCTGTATCTCCTGTTTTTCCTCTCAGCCTCTCTGGCTGCCTTGCTTTCAGGCACAGCCACTTCTCAAATGTGGCCTCTCCCATTCCCAGCATTGCCAGGTGCTCTCTGGAAAGCTCAAAGAGAGAATGAAGGAAGACTATTTCTTATGTCCTTGCCTGAAGCAGTTCTCTACCAAACAAAGGAAATGAGTGCACACTAGACAGTTCATCAGTTCAGCTGGGCAATTAATGAGAAGTAGAATCAGTTATTCACAATTGTACCTGGGAAAGGTTTCTCCAAGAGGGTCTTTGCCAGTTAATATCACTATACAAGGGAGGCCTTCTAAATCTTGATACGTCCGAGGGATCCACTCTTCGGGCTCATTCCCTCTCCAAATCTGTAGGAGAGACCCATATGAAATAGTTCCCACTCTAGAACTCATTCAAGTTTACACCTTTATGAAGGTGTCTAAACACAGATTTCAGTTTCCTAATGACTTCCACTAAGTGTATTGTAGATTTTAATTGCTACCTTAAAAAGCATTCACAAAACACTTGTATGAGAATATGGTCTTTCATTTTTATCTCAATAGGAAAAACAGAAGATCTTGGAATTCCTCATACATTAGCTCCATAGGCCAAAGAAACACTGAGGAACATCCCACCAGAGGTGCAAACTTTGCAGCCATTCTGGCTACCCCCACTAACTCAAGGCACTTAAATATACTCTCTTCATAGAATGGACAGACTCTTGGGATTGGGTCATTGAATAAGACAGTTTCAGTTGTGAATGGCCCAGCAAAGAGTGTCAAAATGCCATCAAATCAAGAACATAATGCAAGTAGCCACTTCTGAAGGCTATTTTTTCTCTTTTCTCACTTTATTGACATTAAAAACAACCGACAGGTAATTATTGGCTTAAGGCCTCTAAAGAGCTTCTTGCAAGAAAGCCAAAAATATAGCTTGACCAGACTGGACCAAGGAAAAAAAAATTGCCCTTGTTTGGAAGAGTAATGCAGTTTGCTCATGGCTTCATGAAGTTTTTATTAAGCGCCAATTTCTCATATATACATTAACATAGATATATCTTTAATAAAAGGAACATCAATCTCAAAAACCTGAACATACCAATGAAAAGGGAGAAATACCACCAACATGAAAGGTGTTCAAAAGTAAACAGACCTCATATGTTTTTCTGTTCTAGAACAGAAAGAAAATAGACCACCTCAAGAGAGTAAGGCAATTTTTATTATTTATTACATGTATAGCATCTCACTATGCTTATATATCAGCTTTCTAGCAAGTTAGTCTAAGAAATGAACTAACAATCTGATAATGCTTTGGTGAGCAAGGACTAAGAAGTAAGGTGTTAAGTAATAGATACAATTTTATTTTCAAATAGAAGGGTATTTTCTTTACTAAGCACAAGTAATAAAAAGAAACCCGTGAGACAAGAGATAATATAATAGGGTTTGATAAATGATTTGTATTGATGTCTAGAAAAGACACAATGAGAGTTGGGCTTGGTGGTACAAGCCTGTAATCTGAGTACTTGGGAGACTGAGACAGGAGAATCATGAGTTTGAGGCAGCCTCAATTATTCCAATAAGACCAAGACCCTGTCTCAGAAAAAAAGAAAAAGATCCAATGAAGAAAAACCAGTCTTTAATCTGTAAAACTGGAAGAACCTTAACTGTTCTCATGCTTTTTACTATACATGTATACACACACACACACACACACACACACACACAAACACACACAAGCCATGGGAAAAATCAGTAAATCTGCATTACTGTTACAACCCTGAAAGACTTTTCTATGCCTTAGAAAGTTTTTTTTTTTTAAATAGTAGAAGAAAAACTATATAAAATTTGGAGCTGGGCTCAAGTGGTAGAGTGCCTGCCTAGCAAGCACAAGGCCCTGACTTAAACTAAAGAATTCTGGAATAGGAATCATTGGCCTTCACAATGGATTCATGCTCTCTTTGACAATGGGAGTCTCCCTGAATGTGTTTTATCTCCCAGATAAAACTCCTAGGTCACCATTCCACCAAGTGTAGTAAGGTTGGGCTACAATGATGGGATAACAGATAATGATGTTTACTACAGGAGGTAATTTATTTTTACATCTTACTTTTACTCTTCACTAACAAGAGCTAGCCACTGAATTTCAGGGTAGTCCTGGACTCAAGAAACTCTTTTGAAAGGTTCACATTCCTGTTGGAGGAAATGATTTATTTAGACTTAATTTGTATCCTTCCAAAGTGCTTGCCATCACTTGTAAATAAACAATAATACAAGCTAATGAGGGATAAGCACAAAAATGAGATAATGTAATAGAGGCAGTGTTCGATTTTGCCCAAGACTGCAGATAAAAGACATACCCATGCCATCCTGAGAATTGTAAAGGAAGGAGGTAACCTTGAGATAAACAGATGAACCAGAATCTACCCAGCAAAAGACAGTCGTGCTTAGATGTGAACATCCCACAAGGATCTCATATTTTCACTCTCACATGAATGGAGAATATAAACAAGATAGATTGGTTTTGAGACTATGGGGCTGTCTTATGTGGTTGCTTCCCTGGCAACCACATAAAAATTGAGAGACCTGTTACTGCTTTGAGAGGTAATTACTTAGGGCCCCTAAGTAATGGCCAAACTGTCAGAACAGTGGTCCTCAACTCTGGCAGCATAGCTCAATTACCCACTGAAAGCTCTGATGGCAGCTGTGATGTGCTAACAGTCAGGTGAAGAGCCTCAGGCCTTGATTACAGTTTTCAAACAATGGGACAGAGGGTCAAATTATTTACAATCCACTGATGTATACTGACTGGCCCTAAGACTACATAAGGAGCTGCACTTATTCAGGGTCAATGAAGACCACAGAGGGAATTCGAAGATGGCGGCTAGAGGGAGGAAGCAGAAAGTGTGCCTTCTAAAGTAAAATCTTGGAGAGACGCTGGAGATACACCTTACAGGAAAAACCACCAAGAAGAGGCAAAACTTTGACTCCTCCACACCTCCAGCCTGCATGTAGCATCCCCACTTCACGTTGAATGGAGAAACCAGGAGGGCTCCAGCGCCACCACCAGATGGCAGCACCCAGATGGCTTGGGAAGACGCGGACCACAAGGTGAGCTAAGGGTACGTGGTACTCCCACAGACAGCCCTGGGCCAGATCAGCATAGCCCCCTGGACAGACCGACCCCCACCCAGGGAAAAAAGAAAAAAAACTGAATAATAAGCAATAACAACAAAAAAAACACATAGCAAAGAGGGCGGGGCACCCTGAGTGCCAAAGGGGGGAGGGGAAATCCCTTACAAGCCAGCTGGAAAAGGCAGGAGTGGCGGCACACGCCCAGCAATCAGGAACAGGAAAGCTTGTAAAAGTGGCAGTGGGAGGAAAACTCCACAGGAGAGGGGGGAAGGCCCACTTCCCATGTGAACTGTAAAACACACTGGCCTGAGAAAGCTGGTGCAGTGTCACCTCCGCCAGTGTGCTTGGAATGGGGAAGCTTGTAGCAGTGGCCATTGTGCTCAGGAGAACTCTAAGTAAACAAAGCCTGCAGGGCCATGTGAGTGTTAAGCTCACTCCTGAGATCTGCATAAATAAAGCCTCCAGCAACAGCAGGCTGACAGCAGCGGGCAGGCAAGCCGCAGCCTCAGAGAGCCATTCACAGACCCGTCTCCAGACTCTTTTTTTCTCTCCCTACCTTTGATGAGACAAAAACTGAACTACACCTGCATGCTGAAAAACTTATTGAAACTGTATTGCATTTGAACTTGGGACACTTTGTGGTATTTTTTTGTTTTGTTTTGTGTTGTTTTGTTTGGTTTGGTTTGGTTTTTTTCCCCTTTTATGAGACAACAACAGAACTACTTCTGAGATACCTCTCCAGGATTGGAAGCTGAGGGACAAACACCAAAATTATTAAGACTGAAACTTTATTGCATTTGAACTTGGAGATTTTTCTTTTCTTTTTATTATTATTTTTTATTCATTTTTTATTTTTTATTTTCTTTTCAATCCTCTGTCTCTCTAATGCCTGTTCAGCTTACTGTTGATTAGTACACGATCTCTCCCTGTTTATATCTTTGCAACTTTTTTGTTTCTTTGTTTTGTTTTTTTCTACTTATTTGTTTTTCCCTTTTTCTTTAACTTCTTTGCTTTCCATCTCCTCTCACCCTTCCACTCTAAATGCCACCAGTGTTATTATTACAAGCTAGAAAATACTTAATTGCACACAGTACAGGGACCATAACGACACCAAGGACAATGACGGGAAGACAGAAAAAACAGGGAAACCAGTTTCCCCTCAGCAAAAAATTAGTACAGGAGCCAGAGGGAAATGAAGAAAACAGATACTCAGATCCAGACTCCAACAAATTGAAGATAAACTATGCCAAAGAACCCAATGAAGCCCACAGGAATAATCTAAAAGAAGAAATACTACAGGTACTCGATGAAAATTTTATAGAGATGATACTGGATATGGCCAACCAAAATGTAGAGAAGACACTCAAGAAATTCCAAGACAACAAAAATAGAGAATTTGAAAAAGCAAAAAGAAATAAAAGAAAACATAGAAGCACTGTATAAACACCAAAGTGAAACAAAGAACACGATTAATAAAGAGATAAATGAACTCAGGACAAAAATAGACAACATTAAAGAGGAAACGACTCAGGATATGGAAAACCTCAGAAAAAAGAACGAAACAGAATTGCAAAACAAAATGGAAGGCCAATCCAGCAGAATAGAACAAACAGAAGACAGAATCTCAGAACTCGAAGATGAAATGGTAATTAAAGGAAAAACTGAAGAACTATTAAACAACTCAAGACCTGTGAAAAGAAAATGCAAGAACTCACTGACTCCATCAAAAGACCAAACCTGAGAATCATGGGCATCGAAGAAGGAGAAGAGGTGCAAGCAAAGGGAATGAGTAATATATTCAACAAAATAATAACAGAAAATTTCCCAAATCTAGAGAAATCTATTCCCATACAGATGCAAGAGGCCTCCAGAACACCAAACAGACCAGACCAAAATAGAACTACCCCACGGCATATCATCATTAAAACAACAAACAGAACTAGAAAGAATATTGAAGGCTGTAAGAGAGAAAAAACAAATAACATACAAAGGTAAACCCATCAAAATCACAGCAGACTTCTCAACAGAAACATTAAAAGCAAGAAGAGCTTGGGGTGAGATCTTCCGGGCACTGAATGAAAATAACTTCAACCCCAGGATACTCTACCCAGCAAAACTATCATTCAAAATAGATGGAGCAATAAAAGTCTTCCATGATAAGCAGAAACTAAAACAATATGTGACCACAAAGCCACCACTACAAAAGATTCTTCAAGGGATTCTGCACACAGAAAGTG